GTGTGTTTTGGGAAACAACCATGGAGTCACTAATCCAAGACTACCGGACCATCGATGGAGTCAACATAGCTCACGGTGGTCAAACCACGGTTTCATTGTTTAGATTCGGTGAGGACTCTGAAAGCCATTCACAGACAAAAATGGAGGAGATTTGGACGATTGAGGAGGTGGATTTCAACATAAAGGGTCTTTCAAATGACTGTTTCTTGCCACCAAGTGACTTGAAGAAGGAGGATGATAAGCAAATTGTTCATGATGCCACGAGTGGTGACAAGTTTATCGGAACCACCAAGTTTGCCTCCAGGAGCCGAGGAAATTCGTCTAGGTTTGGTGTTCATAAGATTGTGGCGATTGATTCCGATGGTTTTGGGGACTTGTGACATTCTTTGTTGTTTGATTATATCATGTTTTGTACATATTTTGTTGTACAAGTTGTATAATATTTATAGATAGTGAATCGTTTGATTAGACGATCTTATATAGGATGTTAGTCGGATTCTTTCCATACTAAAAGTTTATTTACCTGAATGATATGTTTATTTTTGTTGGGCCATACTAGATAATAAGATAAAGTAGAATGATCGTAATGATTTTAGAAAATCTCTTCTACATAGATATACAAAATAAATGGGTTCGTCACTTCCTTTTATGGCTCCCCATTTTGTGATGTCCGGGGAAAAGGGCTCGCCGTTTAGAGATGATGATAATACGTAAGGGTGATCGTTTGGATTGATCGATTTGATCTGATCCAATAGATTTCGGTTATCAAAACATTGATCTGAGTAGTCTAAATTAAATTTAAATCTGATCCGATCCAACTAAATTACAGTTTACTTGTATCGGAATTTAGAATACGGTTTTCAATAGGCCTGACATTTTGCAAAATATATAACTTGAATATTAGCAAAATTTTAAAAAAAAATTGTAATTTATAATTTATAAATAAATACTAAAAATAGATTATAGTTAATATTTCATTGACAATTCTTTTTCATAAGAAGTATTTTTTAAGTATTATATTGGATGAAAATTATAATAACTAAAAATAGTAATGTAGTAAATTTATAAATAGTTAAAGATACATATGAAAAATAGATAAAAGTTGTTATTCTGTTTTTTTAGACTATTCGATTCTTAGTTCATAAACAAAAACCAAACTGAAATCCAAAATAATAGTTCGGTTTTGCTGAAAACTAATCAAAAAATCTGAATATCCTAACCAAATAGTTTGATAAAAATTATTTAATTGGACAATTCGGGTTTATCCGAGTAGTGAGCAACCCTAATAATAAGCAGTCATTTTTAGGACCGTTTTGCAAACTTTTTTATTGAGCGTAAATTACATGAATGATCCCAATAGTTTGGGGTAATTTGAATGTTTGGTCCCTAACTAATTTTTTTTTAATTCAGAAGGTCCTTACTGTTTGTTTTTGTTACGCATATGAAAAATAGATAAAAGTTGTTATTCTGTTTTTTTAGACTATTCGATTCTTAGTTCATAAACAAAAACCAAACTGAAATCCAAAATAATAGTTCGGTTTTGCTGAAAACTAATCAAAAAATCTGAATATCCTAACCAAATAGTTCGATAAAAATTATTTAATTGGACAATTCGGGTTTATCCGAGTAGTGAGCAACCCTAATAATAAGCAGTCATTTTTAGGACCGTTTTGCAAACTTTTTTATTGAGCGTAAATTACATGAATGATCCCAATAGTTTGGGGTAATTTGAATGTTTGGTCCCTAACTAATTTTTTTTTAATTCAGAAGGTCCTTACTGTTTGTTTTTGTTACGTTTTTGTTCTCTGTCTTACCTAAAAAGACTATTTGCTTGATTTTTTTAATTTATTTAAATAAATACACCCTCAACCTCACTTCCAGATCACCTTACCGTACCTTACATACCCCACCTTATTTAAATAGATTAAAAATTCAAGGGCAAAATAATATTTTAGGTAAGACAAGGACCAAACGCGCAACAAAATCAAACTGTAGGAACTTTTTGAGTTAAATAAAATAAATTAGGAACCAAACGTACAAATTACTTAAAACTATAAGGAACATTAGTGTAATTTACTCTTTTATTGACCATCATTTGATCACATCCTCAATGTTTTAACTTTAGACATTTCTTATTGGGTGTCGAGAATTTATTCGGTGATCTGTAAAGGTGATAGTTATAGATATACAAGGTTGTTAAGATAGAAATCTTATACATTATCGTTTTTTGCTTTGCAAGATCGTGATCGTAAGATCGAATAAAACCGTAATATCCTACCATAAGCATTTTTAAACATAAAAAATATATATTCATCCATCATATAACCATCCAGTTAACGATAAATATTTTAAACATAAAAATACATTTCTAATATACTATTTAACGATAAACAATTCAAAATGGGCATTCTACGTGGTTAGTCTAAGAAAAATATTTGATTTTTTTCTTTTTTAAAAAGTATTAAAGATCTTGCGATTTTACTATCGATCCTATGATCCTACCGGAAAACGATCTAAGTAAGATCGAGATCGTACGATCTTACGACCATGATTGCGATTTTAACAACCTTCAAATATACAATATGTTAGATATATATCGATATACTAATCAAGTTCAATTTTTAGTGTTTCTTGTGTACAAAGTTGCTATAGGATATGTTTAACAACGAATTTTCGACAATTTTTAATTTTTAAGAAAAATCTCAATTTGGAGATTTTTTTTTCAACGTACAAGTTTAAAACTATTATCTAAAATAAAAACCGTAGTCCAAAAGCTACTTCGTAACTTTCAAAAATCTTAATGAATATTTTTTTGTACTTTTATATAAATAAACAATACCACCTTCTACTTTCATATACAGGATAATTTATCAAAAAATATCATATTGTAGTGCATTTCTTAAGACCTAGTTTGCTACACTTTACATGAGATTCTCATGGTAAGTCATGATGGACTTGGTCTCCTTTAGATAAGTATAATGTATTTCTATGGAATGTGTGACTGATATAGTAAAACAAGGATTGTAATATTTTGTGCTACCAAAAAAACAAAATAAAATATAAACTCATTCCGATTATAATGCTAAAAACTAGTGAAACCTGTCGTGTCCTAATAACTCTATTATATATATATATATATATATATATATATATATATATATATATATATATATATATATATATATATATATATATATATATATATATATATATATATATATATATACTAGTTTATAACCTGTGAGAACCACGGTTACAAAACTAATTAAATTTTTATATTAAAAAATCAAATTTATTAATCAATTATGTTTTATTACTTAAGAAATATTTTTTAGTTATATAAAGGGAATTATACTCAATGATTTAAATAAATGTGTGAAGTTATATCACCTTATAATCTATATTAATTTTATTTTATTTTTCAATCTAATGTTATTAATTTAATATAATTCAAATGAGAAAATTAAAATTTAGAAACTTAAAATGAGGAATCAATTATTAATTTAATGTAATTAGAGGTTTAAAATTTGAAATTTGAAATGGATAATTAATAGATTGACAAGTGGTATGAAAGGGGATATATAACATTAATGAGGAGTCTTAATTGTATGATACTTGTCAATAGGAGATTAAACTTATTCTTTTATTAGAATATGGATATATAGTATCTTATAAAAGAAATTTAACTATTTCTAAAAATAGATTGATTATAATAATAATATTTTTTAAGACATCCAAATGATAAAGCTGATAGTACAAGTAACCATTAATAAAATAATATTAAATTTTAACCATATTTTGAATTCAAAAATTTATCATCAAATCTCCTTATATTTCTCAGCAATTTGATATGGTTCCTTCAAATCTCGGATTCATTCAAATTTTGAACCCTTTTAGATATCCATAAATTTAGCATGTTGATTCAAATATCCCTCCAATCGCATATACCTCTTTGTTCCCTCCTCTGCTATAAAGTCCACCGTCTAGGAACAAAAAATGATTTCATATCCGAAATAACACCATAGTTTGATTATTTTGTCTTCGATATGTACTTTCTTTTGTAACATATCATTTTTGTAGAGGAAACATATCACCGAAAAAATTTTTACACGCTCCGCCGCTTTGCGCGGGTACACTGCTAGTATATATATATATATATATATATATATATATATATATATATATATATATATATATATATATATAAGTTCAGGTTCATTTGAGACCATTTTAATTTTGTGAGACCGTGAGAACAAATCTAAAAACAATTTTAAAATGCAAAATAAATGGAAAAATCCAAAAATTCTTTTTGTAAATATTATTTTCGGAACTTGAATTAAATAAATAAAATAAAATAAAAAAAATCCGTTTTTTTTTTTGAAAAATAAGCGAAATATTCTAATAGAATATTACACTGACATATTCTAAAAAATAATTTTAAAATGCAGAATAAATGGAAAAATCTAAAAATTCTTTTTTTAAATATTATTTTCGGAACTTGAATTAACTAAAAAAAATAAAAATAAATTCCATTTTTTTTTAAAAAATACGTGAAATATTCTAATAGAATATTACTCTGATATATTTTAAAAAATAATTTTAAAACGCAAAATAAATAGAAAAATTCAAAAAAAAAATTAATATTATTTTCAGAAATTTAAATTAACTAAAAAAAATAAAAAATACATCTCAGTATATAAAACACATACAAAACAAAATAGAAAAAATAGAATCGATTATAAATTTTTATTGGGCTTAGTGGGATGTGACAGCCCAATTGAGTTTTATGTCAGACAAGCCCATTGCTAGATAATTGAAGTAAAGAATACTCTAGAAAGGCATCAAGGCGCTAGTAGAATTTCTCTGGAACCTTCATGATACTGTCCAAAACCAGTTATATAAACCACGGCTATCAATCGATCAAACAACACCAAATTTCAATTTCCAGTTAGCAATTGTTGGATCTCTATTTAGGCTTTGCTTAGCGATCAGTAACGAGTATGTCGATCATCCCAAGCTTTTTCGGTGGTCGTCGAACAAACATCTTCGATCCCTTCTCTTCACTCGACATTTGGGATCCTTTCGAAGGCTTCCCCTTCAACAACAACTTCCGTTCTCTGTCCGATCGCGTCGGATCTTCTGAAACAGCTTTGTTCGCGCACGCGAATATTGACTGGAGGGAGACTGCGGATGCTCACGTGTTCAAGGCGGATGTGCCGGGGCTGAAGAAGGAGGAAGTGAAGGTTCAGGTTGAGGACGATCGAGTGCTGCAGATCAGTGGAGAGAGGAACAAAGAGAGTGAGGAAAAGGGAGACACGTGGCACCGTGTTGAGAGAAGCAGCGGGAAGTTTATGCGAAGGTTTAGGCTGCCGGAGAACGCGAAAGTGGATCAGGTGAAGGCGGCGATGGAGAATGGTGTGCTGACTGTCACTGTGCCCAAAGTTGAAGTGAAAAAAGCTGATGTGAAGTCGGTTCAAATCTCTGGTTGAATTTGAAAGGTATCTCATATATATATGACTATATGTCGATATTAGGCTAAATCCGTAAGTCGAATAATGTCTGTGGTTGAAGTCGAATAGTGTCTCCCAGTATTGCAAATCTACTAATCGAAAATTTTCGTTGTACCAGTCTGTTGATTAGGGTTTTGAAGTTGTGTTTGCGTTCGTACCGTGCTGTGTAAATGTTTAGTTAATCAGTGAGAACAATTGCAGGCTTCAACAATTTCAGAGGCGTTCTTTCTTTTAGCATCTAATCACATATGGTCATCTCATTTATTTCTATTTAATACTTAATCTTAATCTCAGCATTTAACATTTAATCTTACCATATCTAGGCTAACACTTAACACTTTTAGCATCTTGCAATATCGGCTTTATCCGTATTTTATTTTTATTTTTTTCAATTTAACACTTTATCTTAATCTTAACATAGAGCACTCCTAGCATTCTATTTCATTTTTTATTTAGATTTTTTTTAATTTAATTAAATTATTTTATTTTAATACAAAAACATATTTTATGCACAAATATTAATCAAAATTTATTTGGTTATTTCGAAATGAAGTTTTGAAATAGGAATGGGTTGCTAACTAAAAAGACATACAACTGAAATTTTTTTTTTTTTTTTGCCAAAACTTAAAATAGTTCGTATTGTTTTCAAAAATATCAAGTTTAGTCCTTAATTTTAAAAAATCTCACAGATGATGTTTCAAAATTTTTAATAAATGTTTCAAAATTTTTAATAAATGGTCTTTCTACCTAACTCTGTTAGTTTTCTACCGTTAAGTGAGGAGTATTTTCGTTATTTCAATAAACAGAGATCATTTATGAGGTTTTTTCTATTTAATATATATATATATATATATATATATATATATATATATATATATATATATATAAAGGGCCCCACCCCTTTCTCTCTCTCACGAGTCAACCACAAGTTCATCTTCTCCGATGAGACCAAAATCACCCTTCTTCATCATCATCCTAGCTACCAGAAACCACCACCTAGTCCACCATTATACTTTCTCTTTCCTGTTCGATTTTTTAGATATGGAATCCACAAAAATCAAACACCTTGCATCCGATTTCAAACTCAAACACGGAGGTGAATGAAAGAAGAGGAAAGAAGACGCAACAGCCTCCCTCGTTCTCCACCACGGTTCCTATCAAAGAGGCTCCACCCAAACACCCCCTCACAGCCGCTAAAAACCCCAATCCTATTTTCTTCATTGGCTCACCGGAAAAACGAAGCAGAAGAATTCTCTCTCTCTGTGTGTGTGTGTGTGCTTGTTTCAGCAAGAACATCAAAACCACCGCTCTTAAGCTTGCTTCCCGTAATCCGACCTCAAATCAAGCCCTCAATAACTACAGAACACGAAGAATGATCCACAGGTTTTCAAGAACGAAATTTCCGTCATCAAACACCAAATCAACCATGAACTCAAAAGACACGATGATGAAGACGACCCCAATGCGTTAAACCCTAGTTCAACCCCTGGCGACGCTCAATCTACGAGTTCAGGAGGAGCCGGAGTAATTCCTCCGGATCTCAAAACCCTAATCGCAGAAGAAGATACTCTCGTTCCAAGAGGAGCTTCGATTCCGATTTGGACACCAGTTTGAAGAATGACGATGGTGATGATGATAAGACTGAAAACGATGAGGCATTGCACAACCACCACCACTGGCACAGGGAGGAAGTTAGGGTTTCGTCTCTCTCTCTCTCTCTTTCTCTTTCTATCTCTCTCCTGTAAGCTGTATAAAATTCTTTCTCGTCACTGGCTCCCCTGTAAGTTGTATAGATTCCATGTCTTATTCATCATTTGATTCCATATCTTCACGAATCAAATTGAATCTGAATTTGTTTTGAATCGCCTTTGTATACCTTCGACTCCATGGCAGTGTAGAGTCCATTAGATGGTCTACTGTGGGAAGATACAGAGTCGATGTAGCATCATTCGAATCATTAGCTTTGCCTGAGTTACAAGTTCGTTTAGCTTCATCTCCAATTTCTCAGTAAGAAGTTTATTTAGATCAGTTCAAAGAAGATACATATTTGTTTGTGATTGATGAAGTTGGAAAGATGGAGCTCTTCAGTTCGTTGTTCTTCCCTGCAGTGTTACGTGTTCTTGAGTCAAAGAAGATAAATCTCTGGTGGTTGTTTCTTCCAACGGTGAATCGGAGAGAGAGAGAGAGAGAGAGAGAGAGGGAGAGAGAGAGAGGACCCTTGCATATTAAATTTTATTTATTTATTTATTTATTTTAAAAAAAGTAATACAAAACCTCATAAATGATCCCTGGGTAGTGAAATGACTAAAATACCCCTTACTTAACGGCTAAATGGTAACGGAGTTAGCCGGAAGGACCAAATGTTAAAAGTTTTGAAACCATAGGGACCATCTGTGAGGTTTTTTGAACTTAAGGATTAAACTTGATATTTTCGAAAACCACAGGGATCATTTTTTAAGTTTTGTCTTTTTTTTTTAAAGACATAAAATTGAGAACCAATGAGATGCAAACGTTTCTTTCTCTCTCCAATCAACAACGTTAGTTTGTTTCTCTTTCTTCTCATCACGTACAAAGCGAATGAATCCTAGCGACCTCCCTAGCGAATGTTAGGGGTGGTGTGTTGTACCCTTAGCGACTTTAACAAGAGTGGGTAACGATCCCCACTCCCTCCGGTCTAACAAAAATCTTAAACATATCCTTGTTTGATGGAAGTACTTTCATTAAAGTTAAAGGGTACTAAACATAGTGTTAGTGTTGGTAGATTCAGAACTTGTGACCCCAATTCATTATGGCATTTTTAGTAGATGAGGTAGAATTTTATGAATGTAGTGATTGTCAATAAATCATGTTGAGTTTTATGAATGGAGCCCTTATTAAAAAGCATGATGATATCCAAAGTGTATTAGGTTTTCTTTTCTTTTCTTTTCTTTTCTTTTAAATTTCTTTTTGGATCTTAAACATTTACATAAACAAAAATGTGAAGGTATAGATAATTAATATAATTATTCTAGATTGAATTTGAAGTTGTTCAGTGTTTTCAATGCCTAAGAGCAAGTTCAACCTTAACACCAAATAAAACGACAAACTAGTGTAATTTTAACACTAAATTTTGTCTTTAATGTTATTGTTGAGGTGATATTTTATAACCCGATCATATTGAACACCATCCTTTTTCTAGTTAAGAGAGTGTTAAGGCACAACTCGAGGACAATCAATAACAAGAAATGTGATTGGTTTTTGATTATTTTATTATTGAGTTGGAATGATTTTAAAAAAGAAAAATATTAATAAGCAGTGGGTGGTTGTTATAACATGAAGATTTCCTACCATGGTATTTCAATATCATGGATAATGTGGCATCTATATGGTGTTATAATATGTTCATATTATTGCTCTAAGGCATTCATGAAACATAACATGAAGACCATTTCCTACCATGATGTTATAGTACTATGGGTAATGTGGCACTTATATGGTGTTATAACATGTTGTTCATACCCAATGCTCTAAGACATTCATGAAACATACAATGCTTGGCATTAGGACTTGGAAGAAGTTTGAGGAGAGGCGACGAAGGTGGGAAGAAATCTCTTCATCCTTGTTGGTGGGCTTGGTGGCAACGGAGAGAAGGAGGTGGAGGTAGAGGTGAAGGGCGGCCTGAAGAGGGATACAAGCAGACAGGTGGAGGTGGAGCTAAAGGGCGGCCTGAATAGGGATACATGCAGACCCGGTCCTAAGGGTTGGAGTGTAGTGTGTGCAATCTTATATGGCCTTCGAGTATTGCAATCAAAGTCAACTTTTTATTCAACGTATATTTCACAATCCAGTGATCTACCTCACCGTTCAAATCTTTTACCAAATAAGTTTTTATAAATTATATATATATATATATATATATATATATATATATATATATATATATATATATATATATTCAAACAATTTAATTTACTTTTTAGTTTTCTGTTATCACAGTTTATCTTGTAAATTATTTTGCTTGTATTTAAAAAAAATTACAAGGTCCAAATCGTTTTTATAAGGTCTCCAAAACCAACTGGCCGTTGATATAGTATGTGTCTCTGCGATAAAGGTGTGGTGAGTGGTTTAAAACTAGATGGTAAGGGAATAACCTTTATTTATACATTTAGAAAAAGTTCATATTGTGGTAAACACTATGATCCTAAACCTAATCTATTACCTAGTGATATATATCATTATTACAAAGATACTACACTAACATGGCAGGATAATCAACCATCACACAACTACTACTTTCACAAATAGTAACGATATTATAACATTTAAAGTAAAAAGATAATAATAAATAGTAGAAAGTAAAAACAATGGGAGGGGTTGGAATCACGATGGTGATGCAGCCTATCATGTTGTTCTTATTTTTTACTGTTTATCATTAAGTTTTTTCTTTAAATGTAAGAATATATTTAATATTTATGAGTGTAAGTGTGTTATGGTGGATTATCCGACCATATTATTGTAGTATCTTTGTAATAATAATGTCTGCCATTAGATTGTGATTACAATCATAGTGTCTACCACCATGTGAGCATTTAATAATATTCATTTAATTCATACAAATAATCCTACATTTCAATGAAAATTTAGAGTTATATTCTTTAAAAATATATCTTGAAGTCTTTCTTTTAAATAACACTATGTAAATATTAAGTATCATAAAGTCCCACATAGTAAAGATATTATTATGTTAATAGTAAAAACATAATACTAAATAGTAGAAGATAAGAACGATGGGACGGGAAAAAGGTGATTTGAGTGGTTTAGAACTAGGTGGTGATAATGGTGATGGTTAGGCAGGAGTAACCGTGAAAGGTGTCGTTGTTGGAGTGGCATTGGGAAGTGGAATGGGGTGGAGACCGACAACGGTGGAGGCGAAGAACAAGGGTCTCAGGGATAGATGTACAGAATGTAATAGGTCGTCATTTGTAGGAGGGATGTAACGACCCAATTTTCACATCAAAATTTTTTTGTTTAAAAACGTTACTTTAGAAAATATCAATAACTAAAACATCATTCGATCATCCATAATATAAACTGAACCATGTCTGAAAACCAAAACATACAACTAATCAGAATATCAGAGTATCAATCCCAGAAAAGCTCGTAAATGCGGAAACCGAAGAGTGTGTGTGTGTGACATGCTGCTACCGCGCCGGCTCCTTTCCCCTAGCTGAGGAGGTACCTGAAACCAAAACTGAAACCGTAAGCACAAAGCTTAGTGAGCTCCCCCATAATACCCCATACCATGCAAGCATTTAACAAACAACATGCAATTAGGAGATACGGGCCACGCCCACACTCGTGAAGATACGGGCCCCGCCCACACTCGTGAAGATACGGGCCCCGCCTACACTTCACTATCTGGGAGATACGGGCCTAGCCCACACTCCATTCTCGGAGAGATACGGGCCTCGCCCACACTCAACCGCCAACTCATATCATACAAGTATCACACAGACAACAAGTGTAAACAATTCTATCATACTGGCATATATCATAATCAACTCAATTAAGAGATACGGGCTCGGCCCACACTCTAATACTAATGTCTCGTCTATACGGGCCCGCCTTGGTGCCTTAGACCCGTTACTACTGGAAGGAAACTCACCTCGAAATAGCTGCTGGTCTGTGTGGGAATTGATCACCTACTACTGCTGCTGCTGCTCCGGAAACTCCCCGGCTGTAATTCCCACAATATACTTAATCATACACTGCTAATTGTCCTTTGGGTAAAAAGACCATTTTTCCCCTGGTCTAGCCCTAAGTCAATTCGAAGTCAACTTTTAGTTGACCCGACTCGCCGAGTGATGGGTTTTGGTCATAAGACATCTATGTGTTCATACAAACCCTAATGCTTGGATCTAGGTTTCTCTATTGTACATGCTTTGAATCCAAGACTATAAACCCTAATTCTAGCATACATATAATCATATTAACATGAGAATAAGTTTATAGTGTTACCTTGATTGTTATGTAGCAATAACAATCCCAAATCTCCTTGTATTGACTTTGGAAGGCTTAGAGTCACAAGTGTCACTCCTCTAATGGCTCACAAACACCATAAGCAAGTGGAGAAGGTATAAAGAGAGAGGTGAGAGGTTAGAATTCGTATCTAGGACCTCTTGGGAAGGGATACACGAATTCATGGCCCTAGGGGTGTTTATATAGGTGTAGAGATAGGGTTTCAGTCATTATCCTTATCTAGTTGATTATCCATTAAGCAACCAATAAGATAATCCTTGAATCCTTATCATACTCGAATTCTAAGGGATTTACACCTCAAATTCGTTCACCATATATATAAGATAATCCTTACCTTATTTTGTAACTATCACATAATTACAAATCAGCCCCTCTAGTTTAATTAATTACATTTGATCACAAAACTAATTCTTAATTAATTATTGACCAATATTAATTAAACAAATATGATTTCTCCTTTAATATATTATTCTTATAACATATTAATAAATCATATTATCCTCTCTCTCTCTTTATTCATTTCTCCAATCAAGTTGCTTTGGTGAAGGCAACCCAAAAGGACCATGCACCATCGGGTCAAGTACATACCAAAATAG